ACGTGCTGTAAATAAGTAAATTTCCAAAGTTACTACTACTAAAATAATTTTAATAAATACAAAATAAATTTTAATAAATTTGAGCGACCATGAATCTGAATTATATGTATGGATTATATTTATACATTTTATCAGCGTCACATAAATTATCAAAAGTAAATAAAATTATTAAATTTTAACTTAAATAAAATTTATAATGAATTCTTATAATTGAATATTTGATATTTTGTATGTTTCACTTTATGAAAAAATATAATTTTTTCATATATAATTCCATAAGAAAACTAATATAGCTTTATTTACATTTGTAAATTAAATTTTTTTTAACAATTAATTAAATTAATGGGGCTTATGCATATTATCTATTTATGTGTAAGGATTAAATTTAATAGTAAAATTGTACAATAATATATAGGATATAATTTTTATCGTAGACGTTTAATTTTTTTAATAAAATAACAATCATATATTTTTTGACATTATATACGTATATATAATTTCTTATAGATAATAAAATATTATATAAGTCATACATATCTTTAGTGTTTCACCGAAGTAAAATAATTATTAATTGAAAATTACTGTCCTGTATATTCGATTAGCTTTATAATATTTACCCGAACAATGAAATTAAAAAATTATTTAGTTTTTCGTTGTACCCCAAATAAATTATGGCAGTATCTCGAGCATCCATCATCCATTGGTGCAGGAAGTGCTAAATATAATTTATAATTAATATTATCAAGAAAATTAAGTTGAAGATTTTAAATATAATATTAAGCATATATTCAATAATTCTTATTTAATTCAAATTTTTATACGTATATTGTTCAACATATTTTAAACGAACATATTTCTCTTGTCATGTTTTTAATAATAATATCTAATTAAATTAATTCAAGTATGTTTAAAATAGTCTAACGAAAATTTACAATAGAATACATTTGTACATTTTCTGACATTTAAAATGGTTTCAATATTTCTATTTATCAACATTCAATAATAATATTCTAAATAATTAAAATTCTTACGCTTGCACCGAGAAATACAATCTGCTAATGATTTCACTACTATAGAATCTAAAAAAAAATAAGAAATACAATATATTTTATATTGATAGGAATATTAATAAATTAATAGTAAGAGTAATTATTAAAAGTATTCACTTTTATAATTTTTTAAATGTTCATTATCAAAAAAAAAATATATTACTTAAATTCAAACTATTTAATAAACAGATATGTAAGCTACAATTAAGATTTGTTTTAAGTTATTGCAAATATTACCAAATTATTTAGTATAATTAAATTTTCTAGATAGCTATCAGAGAAAAAAATGCTAAAAGTATTTTTTTTCACTCGTTTTTCAATAATATTAAATATCTCATATTTGGAAAATATTAATATCTATTTTATGCACATTATACTACACTAATTAAAGTAGAGTTGTAAAATATAAAAAAAAAATTTATATGAGAAATTTCATATTAGTTGCATCTACAATTCTATTTATGTAAATAAATATTCCTTTAAAAGCTTAGTGGCCTGCATACGAGGAATTAAATAAATTGGTGATTATTGATGTCATTTTTGTTACATTATATGATTATATACACTTTAATGCATAGTTTGAATAATAACTTTGAAACAAAATATTTAATAAATTTATAATCTTTCAAAACTGAAATTGAAAATCATTTTAATTTTAAATATTCTTACCTGCACCATTGAATAATTTATCACAATGTTTTTTGCACTTCTCAACTTCGAAAGGTATAGCTATTAGCAAAAAAAAAAAAAAAAATTAAAAGTACACTTAAGATAATAACAACACAAACTTTTTTATTTGAAATAAAATCATTATTCACGATTTAAATATATTAAAAAATTATAATTTTATAAAGTTATCGAAATTAAGATTATGATTTTTTACCGACGTCTTAAATTTTTCTGAGAATCCTATTAAATATTAATTATATGGATATTGATTAAACATCTATTACACTAATTAAACTCTTATTATCTATAATAAAATGAAATTTTATTAAATAAAATATTTCATCACGTATAAAAAATAGGAAATGTTAATATTTCATTTGTAGAACTTTGTAAATCTATGGATTTATTGGATAAAATTTTTACTAACACGAGATTACATCATTTGCAAAATAATTACAATTATATAAATAATAATTTTTAACAAATATTTAAATTTAATTATTAACTTATCAATTATAATAAATTAAAATTCGTATAGAATTATGAATTTGCATACAACATAAACATATGTATTCATTAACAATATTATAGAAATAAATTAAAAAAACTTTCAATCGAGTTTAATATCTTGGTGTCATCGAAAAAAAAAATACCACAATTAAAAATATTCGCTGATTTAATAAAATTTAATAACGTTATCAATTTATTCTATAGCAATATATTCAGCAATATACCGAGTAATAAATTATCAATAATATTTATAATGTAGTTATGTAACGAAAAAACTTATTAAATTTTACAACATTTTTATATGATTTAGAATTAATTTAGAATAATATTACTTACTTTTCTTACAAAGCTTGTAACAGTCCGTCTTTGATATACTTTTAGTTCCTATAAAATAAATAAAACATCATAATAACTTTTTGTTTTATAAATACAATATTATTTAAAATAATGTATATATACCATTAACAAAGTATAGGCAATAACATATAATTAATATAAAGAATATTATATTTTTCATGTTTAAATTTTTTTAATTCTATATTTAACAGTAAAAATGAAGGTAAATTTGGAATATTTTCGTATTTGATACTCTTTATCGTATGCCTTTCTTTAAAATGAAAATATTGTTTTTGTTAGATATTAATAATCAGGATTTTACGATTAGATAGAACTAATTTAATTTTTAATATTTTTGTTATTATATATATTTTGAGTTGGTAAAGATAAGAACATGCAAACGTTTGTTAATCGTCGGTTAATAATCTTTTGTTATTTATAGATAAAAATTTTATGTTGTGATTTTATGTTAAATAAGTAGACTTCATAACATTAGATACATTATTTGATGTAAAATATTATTATAAGTATTATAATAAACTACCATATGGTTCACTAAATTGTTATAGAAGGTTTAGAATTCTTATTTTGTAATCATTCATATTAAATTAAATATTTGACATCTTGCACCTTCTTAAAAATCTGTATACAACTTTCTTCATGGATTTTAGCCGTTTGTTATATAATTTATTTTATATATTATTACACTAAATGTTATTTTTTTAAATATCAATATCTCTTAGTTGACTATTTTTATTTCACTTTACATAATTAAACAATTATTCATACATATTAAATTGAAAAATTTTCTTTCTATGCTTATATATATATATATATATATACACACATGTTCTTTTCAAATCACACTCATATATTAATATTCATATATAAAACAGTGATTAGATTTCTATTAAAAAATCAATATTGGCGTTTAAAAGATTTTGATCTGCGATAACTAGAAATACTTGAAATATAAATACATTCAACAATAGTTGTAATCCATGTTGTATTATTGCGTAGAAGTATAGGTATTTAATGTTAATATATTTATTCGTAGTTACATTTAGTTTATTATGTTTAATAAAAATCAAATAAATACAGCTTTCCACTAGTCATTTTATCTCATAAGTTTTATATATTTCATTAAAAAAATATCTGTGTGATGAAATGATATTATTACAATATTTTGGTAGACTGATTCTGGACATTGTTGACTTTTTATTATTGCATATTAATTTATTTTATACACAAAAGAAATTAACACAAATGGAAAAATATGAAATAAACCAGTTTATATGCAGTATAAAATTGTTTAAATATTTTTCTAGATTATTATTTGTAAATATTTATAATAAGAAAAAACACTTCTATTTATTCTGTTATTTCATTAACCATCTAAAAAATTTTTTTACAATAACATATGTTCGCATTATAAATTTATATAATTTTTATACATAGTGAATAGTAGTTTATGTATTCACCTTTAAATATTATATTAATTTTTACTTAAATATAGAAATAATGTAAACATATTTCTACATAGTTTCGATTAGGTTATTCTTTAATAATAATTTTCATGGCAAAGATATCTTGTAATTATTTTTTTATTGTTTAATAATATTATTTAATAATATTAAAGCAGTATAATTATTTTTTTTTATACAATTGTTGATCTTGTTAATTAAAATAAATAGTAAGTTATAGTATTGAACATGATACATCTTAGTAATTCCTTCATTATATATTTTTCTTCATAAACTGCGTTTTTTTTGTTGTTTTATTTTTGTTTTTTTTTGTTTTTTTTTGTTTTTTTTTTGTTTTTTTTTGTTTTTATTATACGCATAAATATAACTGTATTACTTTTTATATTCTTTCAAATTAGGATTTTCTTGGATGTTTTTACCTTGGTTCCTTATTCTACAATTTAATATTCATTTTTAAAGTGAATAAAGCATATATATTTAAAAACTATAATACATACAATTTTGAATATATCAATTTTTCATTCACTCTGATTGTATATTTTGTTGCAATATTTAGCACAGCCTAAATTCATGGGTGGGGGAAGCGCTGAAAATAAATTAATAATAATTTTTAATGTTATAAAAATGAGATCATTTTGTATCTGTAGAATTTTTAAATGAACACAATATGAAAAGCATTGAAAATAATTACGAGGAAAGCTTATGTTTAATGACGAATAAGTTGTAATTTAACCAATTTAATTATACTATATTATATTTAAAAAATTATTAATTATTATTAAAATTATTTCTATGTATAAAAATTTTATACACAATAAGTTTATTTTGAAAATAGCAAGAAACGAAAATTTCAAAATAATACATTTTTACATTATCTAACATTTAAAGTAGTTTCAATATTTAGATTTTTGTCACAATTAAATAATAATATTACTAAGAACTAAAATCTTACGTTGGCACTTGGAGAGACAATCTTCTAACGAAATGATTGATATGGAGGCTGAAACAAAAAATTAATATACATTTTATTTCATTACGAAATATTAATAAATTAATTATAACAATTAGATATTGAATTTATTTTTACAATTGAAATTAATAAAAATAATCATACGAAAAAAAAAATCTGTTATCGAATTATAAATAAGTTGTATAAAATCAGGTATAAGGATTCTTATTATTATTAACTTTAATTGTTATATATGAAAAACTAATAATTCAGATCTTGTACTAACTACCATTATTAATTCAAGAATATACTCCATAGAGATAAAAACTATTCCCTATTTAACTTAGATGTACAACTAATTTAATTATTTTTTTCTTTGTTCAATTGCATCATGTTAAACGTAGTCATAAGGATAAGCACAAACATTATAATAATATGTATATTCTTAATATCGAACAGTCATTATTGTATGGATTTGCTTTGTGTACTATTCTGAGCATTATTTCATTGCTTGATAGAGTAGGACACAATATATAGGTGAATATTTCTAAAAAATTCTTAGATCAAAAGAAGTAGAAAAATACTATTGTTATAATTATATTAATTGTTTTATGTCTTATCTGATTATTATAAAATAATAAAATAAATTAAAATTTTTAAGAAATAATATACAGCTAATGTGATGATTATATATAAAAAGTTAATAAATTCTAGAAAATTTCATGAATATTCTATATTTCTAGTGGATTTATAATTATTAAAGAATTATAAAATCATGATCAAAGAAAGATATGCGCAAAGTGAAGTATTATTGCGTTAAGTTTGTTAATAAAAATTTTTTGTTTAAACTGGCAATACATATTTAAAATAATAGTAAAATACATTAAACTTTTATTGAAGATATTATTTAATAATTTTGTATAAAATGTCAACATGAGACTAAATTTATTATATTAAAATATATGACGGAAACATATACTTTATAAATAAATATAGGGCTAAAGAATAAAAATATAATCTTATCATCAGTTCCATATATATTATTTATGATAATTATTTTTAAATTATTAAGATCAATATAATTAATTTTTTATTTTACTTACTTGAATTTTTGAATAACACGTCACAATTGTGTTTGCATATATCTATTTCGCGAGGTATAGCTTGGAACAAAAAATTTAAAACATCTAAGTTTAAAATAAACTAAATATATATAAGTAATTGCTTGTATAAAATAGGCAATAAAATTATACTAAAATTATAATAATTATCGTGTTCTTCAGGCTTCAAAAATTAATTGCCATTTCTTAATTGTTTAATAAAAAAATTCTTTCGTTTTAATATTTTATTGGATATTTTTAATTTAATCCCGTTAAAATAGAAACGATATCCGATGAAGAACATTTTATATTCGAAATTATATTCGAAAATATACTAATGTCGATTAATATTGTAAAATGATAGTTTTGATAAGTTTTTTTTTTCTATTATAATTAAAAAAAAAAAAAAGTATTCATTATTAATTTACTTGATTCGTAATAAAATTTTCAATATGTATTTATGATATTCGTAAAATCCGTATTATTATTAATATAATCTAATTTTTTTGCCTTAATACGAATGTCAATGATTTAATTATGAGTTTTGATTCGGTAGAAATAGTTGTATTTCATTTGTATATGATTTTTTATTTTTCATCAATATTTCTCTACAATTTGGTAATATTTATTTAATCACAAGACATTAATATTATAAGATCGCTCATAATTTTTAAGAAATACATCTGCAGCATATCCTACTGTTATGCATTATTACAATACTTATGACGCACTTACGTAATAATAATTCCTATGAATTCATAATGAATAATATATTTTTAATAATAATAATAATAATACATCTTACTTTTACAGAGATCATAACAAGCTGATTTTGGTATCGTTTTTACTTCTATAAATGTAAATGATCGAATAAGTTCTTTATTAGTGGTTACTTATCTAATTTGTATTATATACTTCCCTTTACTAAGAACCAAATAGTAGTAAATAAATAATAAGAAAAATAAAACTTTCATTTTTAAACTTTATTATAAGATTTAATTATATTTTAATACTTTAATGGAAAAATTAAATTTAATTTCACTTTAATAATGAATTTTGCATCTGTTAAAGTTATTACCTCTTTTATAATGGATACGTGAAAAAAAAAAAAATTGTGCACTATAAGCACGACATAGTTATTATTTATTAATAAAGTACTTTTTTTATATTTTTGTTATTTCATATTTATGCATAAAAAATAATTTAAATGCTTTAAGTTTGTGAAGCCACATTTATTATTAGTTTTAATGTTTTTAAATCACGTAGTAAGTAACTATGTGAGTTATTAAATTACCAATTAAATAACTATGTTATAAAAGACTGAGTCAATCTTCCGTAAATTAATAAAAATCGTAAATAATTATCTGAATTTTTAGTTAGTAATTTAGCATATAAATCGTTAGTAAGTCATTGCAGAAGTTTTATCAGCATACTCTACAAACTTGTATAATATTAATTATTATCAAGATTTATGATAATACGAATTCGCTAACTTTTTTAATTTTCTTTGTCGGTTTCCTTTCCCGGCGTCAAATTGTAAACCAATCGGCTTTAAGCATTCAAGTACTGTAACAAATGGAAAAATAGCATATAGAAACACTAGTTTTATGAGTAAATAATTTTAAATTTTTGAACGACTCGGAAAGAAGTAAAATATCAAGACAATTGAATATTTGAAATTTCAAAAAAATTCATTTATTTATGCTATCGGATTCAATTATATTAGTTTGACTAACATTAGTCAGTAAGCATTTCAAAATATATGCATGTGACAATTTTTTAAGTTAAGATTTATTAAAATAACTATAAATTTAAAGTAGTTACGTAATAAAGTAATACGTAATTCCTTACCTATGAATATTATGCTTAATTTATTTAAAAATGTCGTTCGGATGTTCTATTTATACCATATATTTGTGTATTGTTATTATTGTGAATAACTTTTTAATTTCCTCAATATCGTTTATAAACAAAATTTTTAATTAAAAGTAAAGAATATTTCTATCATTATTGTTTTTTTTTATTTTTCATTAAACATTAATATTTTTCGTAATCGTTTATTATATGCTATTTAATTCTTAACGTATTATAAACAATTGATGACGGCTAATTAATTTTATGATTAGTATAATGTGCTATTTTTCTTAAAAGTATTCTCTTTTTAAAATACCTTATGAAAAAATATCGGCATAATGTGCTGTCATTTTTTTTCTTTTCTTCTAACATGTATATTAATATATTTAATAAGTTAAGGTTAAGTTAGAGAATTACGATAAGAGTTTTTTTTTATAGTTGATTTAGCGGGAGCTGATCTACGCTTGAAAAGTATCGATTATAATAATTGTTACGTTGGCAAGATTGTAGCACGTAAAATATATGATATTTTATTATCATAAAGAGCAGCTATAATGTTAAATCCTATATAAATCGTACGTGTGTAAGATAATAGATAGAAGAAGAACTATGAAGTATAACTTTATAATGATTCAACGTAGAAAGAAGACGGTGGTAAAACAGTTAATGAAAGAGAGAAAAAGTTGGAGGGAGAGGCGAAGAGGGAAGAGTAAAAGAACCGGTTTCCTTTTCGGTTCAACTTCGGTGTAAAATCCAGTCCACGTATTTATTTATCAATTAAGTGGTAAAAGGTTTATTTCTCTGTTTGTTTTCAGGTGGTGATAGTTGGCAATGGCGCAGTCGGCAAATCTTCCATGATACAGAGGTTCTGTAAGGGCACATATACTCGTGACTATAAGAAAACCATCGGTGTCGACTTTCTTGAAAGGGAGATCGAGTAAGTCTAAAAAAGTTTCTTTAATTTTCCATTTCTGGATTAAATATAAGTTTTGTAGTATATAAAGTAGTAATTGCTTTAATTTACGAATCACGATAATTACTTCTAATTTCAAAAATATATGTAGCATATTTATTATATTCCTATATTTTCACAGAATAGTCGATGACACATTATGTAGAATAACATTAATACTAAATGGGTTTTTATTCGTGTATTATTTACATAATAATTAGAATATTTAAGAAAAATTAAATTATCGAATGATCCATATTAAAGTCAGACGTTGAAACAATTCTATTATTCAAACATTTATATTTTTAATTATTTAAAATACTAATAAATACCATTTATAGTAATATAAGATTAACAAATTCATATAAACTAATAGGAATGAAGTAAGTCTAGTGTAAAAATTAACCAGTATAATATCACGATTAATTAATGGTGGATGAATAACGAGTAATACTAGTGGCAAGTTCATTATTTTAATAAAAGCATGTCGCAACAAACAGACAAGACGAGCAGACAGACGTAAAGATTAATCAGTTATTAAATGAACGACAATTCATATAAGTCTACGCTACATTTAACGTATAGTAATTTCATATGAATATCGGTTAAATTATAATGGCCAACAAATTCAATTAAATGATTATCCGATGCATATCCTATATGAAAAGCGACACTTGTTACGTGAAATCATTCGTTATAGGTGTATCTGTTTAAGAAAACTAATAAATGTTTATTTACGACGTTCATTATTATTAAATGCATTATTTGCACTCGACGTTATTCACGGATACTTCAAGAGTGGTAATTTTAGATCAATCATTATCAAAGCAAAAACTAATTTTTGTATATTTTCTTGAAATCATTTATTATTTATTCATTATTTGATAATAGCAGCGATGTTGAAACATTTTCTTACTAGATACTTAATTAATTTATAAATGTAAGAATGATATGCTTAAAAAATTATTAGCTAAATAATTCCAAATTCAATTTCTATATATTTCGAGAAAATTAAGGACTTGAAAAGTAGTATCATGCAATAAATAAAACATAATTTTTATCTCACAAATAATATGCATTATATTTAATGGAATTTAATTGGCTGTAATTATAGCTTTGACTAATTTTTCAAATTCTACTTCTAACAGTATTTGTCCATAAGTATTAACAGTTACCAATAGTCCTAGTCACATTGTTAATTATAATATAAAGAAAAATTTCTTCTTATAAATATTGAAAATTCAAATAGAATTTTACAATAAGAGTTTAAGGTTTTTCCTTAGATTAGTTCATAATATAACATAAAAATATTTACAGTTAAAGAAGAATCGCTTGAGATTAATAATAATATAATTGCTCTATAAAAACTAACTGCAATCTAAATTCTGCTAACGAGATCATATAATATAGTGCGGATATATAATAATACGGAATATAATAATAATGTACATAAGATAATTAAGAAAAAATACTCTCTCTCTATTAGTTTATAAAATATATTATTGAGTAGTAGTAAGTTTCGATAATCCATCGATAATTATATATATTTATGTAAGGAGAAAGAATTAATTATTCTATTATAATTTTTATTATCATTATTATGTGCAATGTTAAAGATTCGATGTTTAAAATCTAATAGTTTTTGTGAAATAGCGTGGGCACATCGACAAAACCTTTACATTTAATTTACAATGTGATAAATGTTAATAAAATTTTATTATACATTCATTTACAGAATATATTAGATTCGTAACTAACGATACATTGATTTAAGGCGTATTATAGTGCATGTCAATATACTGTTACCGTTCAATTAATTTTAGGATTTTCTAGAAACGTATATATCATCGCCGATCTACTATTATATGTATAATTTAAAAATTAATATCCGAAAGCTTGACAGAGACATTGAATGACAACTTGAAAAGACGATTGGTAATTACATAAAAATGAGCATATAATGTCTTTAAGTATTTATCGATTAATATTTAAGAATGAAAAAGCTAATGGACCATTTAGTTTATGCCATGAATGTTCCGGTATGGCACCATTCGTAGGAAATATCCAGTTAACTAGGGCAATAAATCAGATTCGAAGTCACCACTGACATTCTGAATCATAAGGACCTCGTTCAGTACTTCTGCATTAATTTTTTCAATGTTATTTCTTTTTATTGTACTATACGTTATAATTTGTGATTTTAATAATGAATGAAAGTCGATTAAAGATGTAAAAAGTTCTAAATTTTCTTCTTCTTATATTTAATTGTAATTTCGAGGCTGTCACTTTTCACATTAAAATCTTATTCTTTGTCTTAAAATAATTATCCCTCATTTAATCGTAATATCCTGAGAACAAAAACGTTAATAGGCAATCTACATAAATGCAGATGATGCCGTTACTGTGGGAACAAAACAATAAACTGCCGAGTAGGATATGGTAATTAACGCGAGCGCAGTTAATTTAGCAGATAAATAAAATATATTAAATTATTAATATACATGCACTGGTATATTATATAGACATATTCGTTGTAATCGGTGCTGAATATGACGGTGCATCGATATAATGCTATTGAGCGTTCGTTGGCATTAAAGACATACGAGATCCGACCAGCTCAGTAGGAGGTATTTAGCAATTCAAGTTTTATATGACGGACGACGAGGCTGATGGACCGGAAGGAAACAAACGCGATTGCTGGCGATGCGAGTACTATGGCGATGTCAAGGTGCTTTACGTCCCGAGCAAACGACATAGCGGACAACAAACGTACTGCAAGGACGTACACGGAAGTTCAGTCGCATGGTCGGAATGTCGACGTGATTTATCCTCTATCGTTCTTTACTGCTTTTATAGATAAGAAAGGCTATGAACGAACGGGTGTGTTTGAGAGTTGACGACGACGAGGCGCCCCCGGGACTGAGAAACAAACGTCTTGGGCCGTGTTGGGCCGTGTTTTGGGAGTAACGACACTGGAAGTCCGGACTTATGTGCCGTGCGATATAAAAGTCAACCCGTTAGAAAAAACATTAGAAAAAGAGAGTGTAACAGTTAGAAGTAATATTGGGATGGAAGTGTGCCAAAGTTGAAGACAGCTATGGAAGGATAGAGAACCACTTTGGACAGTGCTGCTTACGTGGAAAGGGGCTTGGGTGGGGGAGGGGTTGGGGGTTGGGGGGGGGGGGGGGGGGGAGGAGAAACGTGTTTGCGAGGATGTTAGCGAATTCGAGAAAAAGTGAACCTGCTAAGCCGACTTGCGACTGCTTTTTTAATGTCGCGTGATATTTATTTATTGCAAAAGAAAAAGCGTTTGCATACGCATCGGCTGACGGCGATATAAGCATGCGAATCTATGTTATACTCGCAGCCTTTTACAATACACGAACACATAAATCATGAAGCTCGTAATCAAAAAGAATATTAATCGTTATAGTTGCGATTGTTACTTTTCTTAAAGGACATTTAAAATTTATGCAAAGGTGATAGAATTTATCTTTGTAATTCAAAGTAAGCAGTCGCATTTATATTGTAAATTTTAAAAATCTATCCTTAGGTATAATTTATGGATAAGGTCTCTAAAATATTGCTTACTCAACATCTTGTGATAAGATTTTGAAATTCGAGAAGTTTTCGTTTTATATCATGATTTTTCAATTAAATTATGTCCCTCGATAAGCTTATGAAATATTCTGCATTTACAGTTTCATAAACAGTGTTGTATTATTGTGATATTAATAATTTCACTCTTTCTCAAAACCAAACAATTAAATAAGTTTTCCATTACACGATACGATTATTATTATTATTCAGTGGGATAGTAGCGAATGTAATGGCAAAAAATATAAATTTCAAATGGATTGAGTAATAATAAAAAAAATGTTATTTAAATACCAAATACGTTTTATTAGTACTCATTTGAGGAATTCTTAACGATTATTTCAAAAGGTCGTTTATGATTCAATTTATAAATAAAACATTATAGTCATTTAATAAACATAATTTACTTTTATGGAAATCACAATTAAATTGCTAAATTCTATATCCGAATTATTTAGTCTTAATATTAAAGATAAAGCCAATTAACATATAAGGAAATTAAAAATAGTATTATTATTGCAATTTAACCTTTTTTTTTTTACAAATTGTTTACAATTTCAAGTAGTTCTGTTATGAAATTAATGAGTTTTAGGCGAGATTTGGCAACGTAATTTGTTAAAAATAAAAATAAAAACAAGATCACTTTACTTCACTTATTTGAATATAAGTAGCCACTACAATTACGCGGGCATATCAAGTTCACTATAGATCAATTACATGTAATGTAATTTTTTACGCATATAATTCTTGCGAGCAATATAGCAAAAGGAATAACGTAATAATTCTTTTTTTTTTTTTTTTTTTTTTTTTTTTTTTTTTTTTTTTTTTTTTTTTTTTACACCAAAATTCGAAAATATTTTCTATTTCAAATATGCAAAAAATTCTAAATAAATAAATAATAAATACTATATTGCAATTAATTTGTTAGAAGTATATTACATTTAATATAGAACGTGAAAATTGATTTCTTGAAATTATGTTTTCCAATCTATTCGTGTGAAAATGTAAGATACTCGAAGTAGTATCAATTATTGTTAATTGGTATTCAATTATTTAGACAACAAATTTTTTATATTACATAAAAATCAATTATTTGCAATACGTAAGAATTAATCGTGAATAATGGCCTACACAAACATTCATTGTTAATAAAGTATTCAACGGTTTTTACGAAAAAATATTTGAAAATTTTTATATTCTTTATAAAGTATTGAAATGCCATTACAAATATATTACGAGTCTTAAAAATGTTTATAATTTTTATGTAAAAATTGCCTGTTTTTAATACGTTAACGAATAAAAAGGAAAAAATAATTCTGTTTTTAAAAATATTGTTAAACAACCAAACTTCTTAAGAGGTGATTGTATATCTTGACTTTATAGGATTTTTATATACAAGAGGGAAAAAAATTTTATTATAATATTTCTCAGGTAACTTAAAAACTATAAACCTTTAGATTGTTGACTTATAAATATTTAATTCTCTTTTCTATTCACTTTATTCAGATTTAAGAATTAGGCCACTCACACAATGTTTTCATTTAATTTTTTTTTTTTTTTTTTTTTTTTTTTTTTTTTTTTTTTGACTCTGAAGGAATATATTTATTTATCTTAATTTAGATTCTTAATATGGATGAATATATTGTAATTGGAGAATTTTTTATCATTGGAATATGTTAGAAGCTATTAAAAATTGAAATCCCAATATATTTCAGTATATTTATAATAGAACTAAGTAAGCAAGTAATCCTTTATGTTTAAATAATTAAGTTAGAGTAACAAGCTATTGGTTATTAACATTCTGTAAATATTTAAACGTCTTTATCAGGGCTCGCAACATTATCAGATAAATAGTTTTATAATCAATAGATATATAAAGAATAAGGAATATGCGCTTAGAAAGATAAAATAAATACGTGTAAATTAACATACACGGATACAGATTGGTTAGCTAAGCCATTGGTCAGTCCTAAAATGTTAAAATTTCAAAATATTCACTGTCACAAAGTCATGTCGGACCTATTTCGGAATAATATAGGTTTTACCATTGGCAGTTTTTTGCTCGAATGATTATTTAAAGACATATTTTTACTCGTTGAAACATTCATTATCTACTTATTACACGTAGCGTAGATACATTATTCTGTTGAATTTCAGATTAAAATAAAATATGCTTTTTATTGCTTCTATATTCTACAAATATTCAAGGTCATATAATCATTTTCTATAGTTGATATTTGTGAAACATCATATTACCAAATACCACCAATACCAACGTACAAAAAGTTTAAATATAATTTTATTTTTAATATCAATTTTAATTATTGTATTCTTTAACATTCGTATACATTTCTTTAGATTGCATAAAAATGTCATAATCCATGTTGAGTATTAATCAACTCTACAAGTATTCAATAACAGTTGTTAAATATAATTAACTACCACTAATAAGCGTTAAAAAGTTCTCTCTTTATAATCATGCAATTATAGTACTTTATCGCACGCAAATCCAATTGAGTGAGTTTCATTATGAAAGTTGGCGTGATACATTGTGCCGCAATTGTATTTCTAGTACCAAAACATTTTATGTGATGTGACGAGACATGTGACGAACATTGCTGCACATTTCGTTCAATTTGTCATTGAAGGATATAGACACTATGTATATAATACATAGTATTACTAAACAATTAATATTGCAAAAAATATTTTAGAAATATATATTTGTAAAGTTGTTTTTGCTTTTGCATAATTATCTTTCTACCGAAGACAAAATGATAAATGATAAAAATTTAATAGATTGATAGAATTGCTAATACTTAGATAAGTCTTTATAATAGTACCAGTTTTTTTTTTTTTTTTTTTTTTTTTTTTTTTTTTTTTTTTTTTAATTTTTTAATATCTTTTAAAAGGAATATTTAATATATTTAAGCAACTATTGTTCAACATTAATAAACATATAATGAATGAGCTTTGAATTTGCAGTGTTTTGATTAAGACGCTTCGATAGATTCATAATAAAAATTTATAGACGGATGTACAAATTGATGTAATATTTATATCATTTTCGTAATTTATAATGAAATTTTTATTTAAATCGATATTAAAATGGAATGTAGTAAAAAAAAAAAAAAAAATTGAACCAAGCCAAAGTAATATCTAAAAATCTATATGTGGCCAAAACCTTTGGCATCATGTTTTAATGCGTTCCGCGTACGCACGCATGAAGTGTTGAACGCGAATGCATGAGTAACAATGCGCACCTTCCCAGAGAAAAGTGATTGGCCGAAGGGAAGCATGGATAGAGAGAGAGAGAGAGAGAGAGAGAGAGAGAGAGTGAACAAGAATGTAACCTTACCGAGAAGTTCAGTGACGAGTCACCAGGAAAACAACACAAACTACACCTTCTCTCGTTTCCTCCGTTCCTTCGCGTTTGTCCTGGATGAGAAAAAAAGCAACGCTGCGCTTTACCTTTTGCTCGCACTTACTACCTCGTGCATCAGCTTCCTTACTTGACATACAATGTTTGTAGATGCAACGAAGCTTCGTTAGTTACGCGAGTCACGGATTAAGGGAGAGAAGATTTAGCAGAGGTCACTCGGTTTTATTTGCCAGCTCCTTTTTTCTTTTCTTTTAACGAATTTTATTTTCTACAATGTCGAAGACTCGTTACGCTCACGGCGTGAACAGGTGTGCGTTCAACTTCCGAAGAATGCGTTAATTATTTCCAGCTACTGTCTTCGACCTCGATTCCATAGGACGATTTTTTGTCTCGTTGTGCCGTGTTCCACGAGGATACGCGGTATTCAAGTGTTCGTTCGATCGATTTGTATACCTTATGCATCTAATGGATCTTTTGATTATTTTATAATCTATTTATATTTTGAATAATTCAAGGTGAAAAAAATTTCATTGCCATTGTTCCTATATTTTAGGTTAATTATGTAAATGTTTTTATGATTGCGGATGAATATGTCTCTTGATAATTATTGAATATTGTTCCTACAATTTTAATGGATAGAGGAAAATGAGAAAAAGTTGAGAAAACGCGTTAATAGCTATTGTAGAATTGAATATTATTAAAAGAATAAGAAAAGTGTTAGATATTAATGAATGTTTAGAGGCTGAATATATTTGCTTTAGAGAGGGAGCACTGAAATTACATTTTCCAGAGTAGCAGAAGAACCTGTTGTGATAATTGTAAATGAACTTTGCGTCCACTAAATAAATATAATGCTTATATAATAAAATTAATTAGCCTTTGATTTACGATTGAAACTTCATTAAATAAAGAAATTATATTAATGTAAAGAATATATATTTTATAAAATTTTTAAGAAACAGCATATGTTCCTACTTGGCGACAAATTATTTATACGTTCTATTTCATTATAATTGTCAATTATTATCTTCTTATTTATTGGTTCGTATTTAACGTGACATTTTTCTTTTATAAAATACTCAATTAAGATAATGGGTTGAGATTTGGATAAAAATTTGTTGTATATTGTTTATTATGATTACAAGCTTTCGTAATTTTAAATATATGATTATAGTATTGTCCCTTCGTGTTTTATAAGTGATATTAGATGGTCATATTTTAAAAAAATCGTAATACGATATAAATAATTTAAAATACGTGCTTATATATATATATATATATATATATATATGATTATTTATTCGGTGAACAAATTTTAATATGACGGTGTCGGTCGGTCTTTTTTTTAACTTAACATCTTAACTTAATTTTTATTATAATTTATATATCAAACGAATTCAGCAAACCTTACTGTTAGATCGTATTTTATCTTGTTAAATTTATTTCGATAAATATTATAAAAGAATAGTCAAATTACAAAATTGTATATAAATGCAATTTCAATAATAGGTGCATAATAATTCGATAACGATATTACAAATGTTGAAGATTTAAATTATTTTGTCTTATTTTACTAAGCGTTATTATTCTCATTCTTAAATTTATTTACGAATAATATCAAACGTATTAAAATATTTTTTTTGCTCACAATTATAGAAAATTAATTATTGTATAAAATTCATAATTCCTAATTATACATAATTGAAGTGAAAAATTAATTTAGTTATAAGGTCAATTTATACAATAAAGTATTATGTATGATAATATATTGTTATAAATTTTCTTAATGCTAAGATGCGTGTAATATTTATGCAAATCATTGTGCAAACTCTATTCGATTATATATTGAATTGCTCGAGGGAATTACACGTAGAAGAATTACAGTAGAATATGCAGTTGTAAGATTATACCCAACAATAATTCAGGAATAAGCAATTTTTTTTTATGCGAATAATGGTTATCTTAGCAAATCACTTATTTAAATTTATATTGAGTATTGATAGTTAAAGTCAATAAGTAAATGTATGTTATATATTAAATGACGACGAGAGGCGTAGATTTCCTTTTATAAGAGTCAAACATCTTCAACGTTACATATTAATTTCACGAATGAAATAATCTATACACAACAGAATTCATATTTCTATCATAAATATATGTAATGGAATAGTTAGTTTAAATTACGTTAGGAATTCAATTCTTAATTCGTTTATCAATTAGATAAAATGTATTGAAAAAGTTATAAGTAAAAATACACTTGTTAAGTATTATTGATTAAAAGTTATATTAATATACAACTTCACAATAAAGCATTTATTTATATTATATGGCAATGTCCAGGAATATTGTAGAATTAAAATTTTTTCTTTTTGTTTTTACAACAAGATATAGAAAACCGGTAAATATTGCTTAATTAACGAATGTGTAAATAATTGATAAATATTCGTGATAATGACAGGTAGAGGAATCCAAAGGTATGACGAATAATGCATTTCTTAGGAATATTATAGATACATATTGTATAAACTGTAGATAATAATAGAAAATAAAAGTGGTTTTTCTATAGAAAAGTGAATCACTTCATAGATACGAATAATTTTTACGACAATATTTTTTCCAATCACATAAATTTCATTTTCCATATCGTTATAAATAATAAGCATTTAATTATCCATTAGTTAAATATTAAATGAATATTTGACTATCGATTAATGTTCGTACATATTTGTTATCGATAGTTGTCTGTCTGTGAAGACGAATGGCATTTTGATTTTGCCTTTGGTTTATGCACGCACATTATGAAAAACAAAAACAAAAAAAAAAAAGCAAACAAAAAAAAACAAAAAAAAAAAGGCAAAAAACAAAATAAAACCAGATAAATCAATTCAGAGTCAGCTGGAGAATTGCTGTTATAACATTTTGTCGGCTAAATTTCAGGATCGACGGCGAGGACGTGCGGCTGATGCTCTGGGATACAGCCGGGCAAGAAGAGTTCGACGCCATCACCGCGGCTTATTATCGCGGGGCTCATGCCTGCGTCCTGGCCTTCTCGGCCACCGATCGAGATTCATTTGATGCCATCACCTCTTGGAAGTTAAAGGTTCGTCGTTTCCATTTACAATGACAAATGCACGGTAATATTAAATAGGATCCGATTACATGACTTTAATTACAAATACATTGCGCGCTTGGTGAATTTTTTCTCTTCTTTCTTTTTTTTTTTTTTTTTTTTTTTTTTTTTTTTTTTTTTTTTTGTTTTTTTTTTTTCTGTTAATGTCATTTAAAGTACGCAACTGCATAGAACAAAATCGCACAGAATAATACGTCGTAATACATAGAGACTTTAAGTATATATATATAATCGAACGCTAATATGAATTGTAAAATAGATCTTATTTAACGATAAGACAATATTGTTATTTAAAATTCAAGCGTTGATTTTGCGTATTATTAAAGCAGACGTGGCGGCAACTTGTTTTACGATCGCAATTAACGAGCTTTAATAATTACGTACTTTAAGAAAATATAGTTTAGCGTTTATTACGTATTATTTAAATGGATGAAAGCATTTGACGTGCATAAGTATTATTTGTAATTTTAATTACGTCGGATAAGTATATAATAGTTGTATAAATAAATTTTTCTTAATTGAAAATTATTTTTTTTATCAAGTACTTAGGTTCTTTTAATTTTAAAGTAATAATTGGAGCGAAAGTCTAAATAAGATTAATCGCATATTTATAATATCTACGACGCTCGATCAATTAAACGCTATTTTTTGTATATAAAATACTGTTTATAATAATGTTGTAAATAATATCAACTTGCCTTTATGTTTGGCTTGTAAGTAATATTACGGAGTTTTGATTAGTGCGAAAGTGATGATTAATTTTCTAACAATTAATAGTTATAATTAGCGTTAACACACTACGTACATTTATAATGAGAATTTGATTATTCAATATTCTTGGAGTTTTCTACTATATTTTTGAGTAAATCTTTATTTACTATGCTATAAAATTTTTAAGAGCAACGTAAATATTAAATTCTATTAATTTACATGTATACGAGTGTTTTGTATATATAGACTATCTATATTCAATATATTAATTGTAAGTCTAAATTTAAATATTACGTAGGGCTATTATTATGTCAGAGAAATTTAAAAACAAAACAAACAAAAAAAAAACAAAAAAAAAAAAAAAAACCAAAAGATTGTATTCATAGAGTTTAATAATTATTTTATTGATCTGAAATGAAATTTGTTAAATATAAAGTGATGACTATAAAGTGATTATGGTAAATGAAAACGTGCATTGAAACATACATGAATTCGAATTTGACATGTTACACGTCACATTTCGCCAATACAATTTTGTCAATAAAATTTGCACATTGGATTATTGTATTTGTTTTGCCAAGTAAGTGAATAATAGTAAAATAAAAAGTCTTGAAATGGCAAAGAAATGGGCCAACATACGCGTGTGGACAAAGCTATTCGAATGGTCAAGGAAAAACTGGAATTCTAGTCAAAATTAATATGTATTTTCGTTCTTGAAGGGCAACACGGCTCATTGCGCGTTTTACTCTTGCGATGTTGCCATTGTAAAAAAAAAAAAATAGGCAACATCGCGGCTGCGTTTGAAATTAAGATTGTCGAAACGTTACAAAACTTATTCGGATTATTTTTTCCATGATTGTTTTCGAACTTGTCGACGGACAATACCTTTTTTGGCATTTTATTTGGCATTTTTCTCTATCTGTCACGACAATTTCCTCCGACTCGCTATAGCTTAGATTCCTTGTGCAAATATTTTCTTTTAATATGCGCTTGTTTCTTTCGAGTCTTATGTCGGTGTTTTTGTTTTGTTTTGTTTTTTTTTTTTTTTTGTTTTTCTTTCTTTTTTATTTGTTTTTCTTTTCTGGTTTTTTGTTTGTTTTTTCTTTCTAAACGACAATTCTTATTCCGACGCCGAGGCTTTGGCAACTTTCAAATCTAGTTTAATTTTTATCATAATTGCCATACCAGATATTTATCATAGCGATACAAACTTCGTCGTGTATAAGCTTTTTAAATTATGAAGCAAAGGTATTTATCGTTAATTTAAACGTAATTGTAATAAAAATTTGGGGAAAATATGAGTATTGTATATGAGAGATAATAAAGGATAAAGAGTAAGACAGAATAACGTGAGGAGAATTAAGAGGGAGTAGTTTCGAGTTTGAAACAAATTTTATAATGCAAAAAATGGTCATTAATGTGGCAGTATTGGACAATAAAATATAATTCACAAATAAATTTTGGAAACAATTAAATATATTATCTTCCTATAAGTTATAAAGCATCGTATGCTCGATGATCTCATTGTCACATTTATTTCATCCCACAAATATATTGAGCTAACGATTGTATGTATGATGATATAATACTAGAAATGCGGATAAAATAAATATTAATAAATTAGCCGATAGTTTTAACGAACATTCGTTAACAATAATCGATATGTGGCTGGGAGAGGGTGAGGATCTTGCTGTTAAACTAAATTTTAGAGAGAGAGAGAGAGAGAGAACGCTGGGGAGTGGTGGGGGTGGGGGGGTGGGGGGGGGGGGGGGGGGGCAGAAAATCAAGGAGGAAAAACATCATTCCTTCGATGTTTAATATTTTTCACTGGAGTTTGAGGCCAACTGACGTTACATTAACCGACGGCCATTTTTTCCTTCAGTATGCGTACATACATGAAAAGTGCGGACACTTTTATCGGAAATGAAGGTTCCTTCGTTTCTCAAACCCGTCCGTCCCTTCGTCGATTCGGGGAATTTTACGTTTAAATTGCCTGAGAAGTAAAGGACATTGATTAGACATTTTCCGACATAAGGAGAGCCCCGTCATTATCATCTTACAAGCATTTCTTGTGTATTTTGATTTTAACATTTTATATTTCTTGGCTTTTCTCAAAATTTATGCTTTTCTCCGACATATATTTCTGTAGCATTATTAATATAAGCTTTGAGGCAGAAATAAATAGTCTTGAGTGATTAATTGGAACAAATATTTAAAGAATGGCAAATACTGAAAACATTAGTCGCAAATAAAATTTGTTCAAAACTAGTTGCCGGCTTTTATCATGTTGAATACGTTATTTTCATTTTACTTGGAATTAATTAACTTTTCACCGTATACGCATATATATATATATATATATATATATATATATTATTGAAATTCTAATATTATATGAAACTATTAGTATCCGGATGAGGCACAGAGATCTCAAAAATCATATAATAATGTTAAATAAGCGAGTTGCAGAA